ACACACACACACACACACACACACACACACACATACACATGTGCACATACACATTCTCTTGTCTACTGGTGGGGAGCGCCACCTGCTGAAAAATGGGTCCAGCGTCCCATGAACATCGTGAATAAAACACCAACCAGGACCCCCCCCCACCACACTCTTCAAGTTGTATATAGCGAATATGATAAAATATACACACATCATAATCACTACATTACCTTTTCTCAACCACATCAACAAACAAACTATAGGTTGCGCACCCTTGCCCTCATCGTAAGTCAATCAGAAGCGAAGACTGGTTAACCGAGCAAATGGCCTAGCTCACTTGGTTAGGCACACAAGTGGCATTCACGACGTCGTGAATTCGGTTCCAACGACCCTGGGTCACGCATGTTGCCAACCAGCTCCCTTGTTCGGTATTGGTAGGGTTTTTACGGGGGGGGGCGTGGGCGTGTTAGCAGCCCGTCAGGGTTACATTTTATACCCCTGAATCAAAATTTTGTAGTTTGGTCGGTCGTCCGTTCAGGTCCAAATGGTAATTCGCAGTCTGTCAGAGGTGCGTTTTATACCCCTGAGTCAATTCGCCCTTGAGATTCACTAATCACGATTGATAAGGGATTAACGTTCCCGCCGTAATAAATTTCCCCTCTTAAGTGAAGGGCGGTTGTAGGGCGCCCACGCGAACCGGGAGGCACCACCTAATGGTGCCTCAAATTTCCTTGCAAAGTACGCAAGCGTCCTTTTTGCTTTTTGCCCCCCAACTACAGTTGTCCTGGGCCAATAACGGACCTGCGTGGTCCACCATGTGAAGTAGCAGGAGCCACACATATTCCGCTCGGTTTTTCAAGGCGGATTGTAGGGTGTTGTGGAATGACAATGAAGTCCAGTATTTTTTAATTACATTCAGGCTCAAGGGCGCATGTAGGGCTGCCCTCGAGATTTTTCTCAAGTCGAGGGTAGTGGAAATGTCAGAGTGTATGCGCAGTCCAAGACGACTGTCAAAGTCAAATCTTTTTACCTATTTCCAGACCTCCGACGATGGAGCCTTATTCCAAGGGTTAGAGGCGTTTGGTCGCCACTAAGGGTCAAAGCCCGCCTACCACTCCTCTTCACAGTGTGCAGAAAAGGGTAGGTATCGCAATCGCACTTGCGATTGTCTACAGTCGAGGAATTACGCCCTTAAGACGCGTGGCGGTTGTCAAAGTCAAACCCTTTTACCTGTTTTTAAGCCTCCGATAATGGAGCCTCGTTTCCGAGGTTATTATGGGTACCACATGGTATGTCATCACTGCGACCACTTCCCGATTCATGCATGACTAGTCAGTATGACAAGGCCTACGACGCTGTGCCATTTATTGGGAGACTCGCGCGCAACACACACATGTTTTTTTTGTTGTCAAAAGGTTATAGGTCAAATATGAATACGCGACTAGACGCGTTTTCTGTTTAGAGTTTGATTTTATTTTTGTGAAGTTTACCACGTGGTTAGAGGGACCGCCCTAGTCAACCGGTGCAGAGTTGCGCTTGGGAGATCAA